CATCCATTCGATGGCAATAAGTGAGATAAGACAAGGTAGAACTGCCCCTGTGAGTTTCTGAGAGGAACACTCTAAAAGTAGAAAGCCCTGTCTTTCTCCCTCAAAGCTGTTGGTGGTCTCGAACTCCTTGCTGACCTTCCAGTTGGCTGGCCCACTCATAACCACCGTGCTGCCATGGCTCCCTCCTGACAGGGCTAGCCAGTGTCAAACTCCCGGAAGAGAAGCATGCTTGGTCCGTTTCAGGTACAAGGACTGCGAGGGGAGAGAGAGGTTCAGGCCAGATGACGCAGGTGCTTGGCAGTCATATTAAATAGTTGATGTGCTAGTCAAAGGGTAAGAGAACCAGGGGAGCCTTTTGTAGAAGGAGATTATCGTGCATCATTTACTTCCTCCAACCTAAACTTCAACTTCAAAGACACTCTTTTGATAAGAAAAGATTAGATAAAATAAAGCTCTTGCATATTAGGGCTCTGATTGAACTAACAATGATAACTAATTTTTTTTTAACTATAGTAGCAACAGTAGTCACAAGTTTCGTTTATGTTTCTCTGTTTTGTTCGGTTGTATATTTTTAATCAAAATTATATCTGACAGAATATGAAATTATGGAAGAGAATGGTGAACGTTACACAGAAAATGATCTCTGTCCCTTTATGAAAACAAATGGGCTAAAATATAATCAGATTTTACAAAGCATATATTAATGATCTAAGATGGTAAAATCATGAGTTAAATAGCATGTGCACTTAAAATAAGTTGTGCTTCTGAGTTTTCTCAAATATAAGCGTGTTTTAATTGTTTCAATTAAATGGTTCAATGTGTTTTCTTAAACCATTTTTAGTGCCCAGGGGGAGCGTTTACGCCGAATATGCGAACCACCAAGGAGTTCCCGGATGATGTTGTCACATTTATCCGCAACCATCCGCTCATGTACAATTCCATCTACCCAGTCCACAGAAGGCCCTTGATTGTCCGCACAGGCACCGGTGACAAGTACACAAAGATAGCCGTGGATCGAGTCAACGCTGCTGACGGCAGATACCATGTCCTGTTTCTCGGGACAGGTAAGTCTCGGTACTAGAAAATGCCACCCTTCGTTTTAACGTCTAGTAGGAAGTGTGTGTAAAGGTATTGCGCTATCTCTGAAAGGTCAGCAGTTCAAAACCACCAGTGGGTACCCAGGAGAGAGATTTCTTCCCCTAAACAGTTCCAGGCTGGGGGGCTGTAAGGGTGAAGTGTTAGACCAGAGGATATTTTGGTGTATTACAATAATCATTCATTGAGTGGCAGGATGTATGTTGAGTGTGAATGAATTTTTCTTTCAACTGAAGGGATTTCTGACTTCTTCATAAATTACTTGGGCCATTTTCTAAGGGTAATGATAAAAATTATGTTCTAGATAACACTTAAAAGGGAATGCCCTAGGTAGTATAGAAGGCTCTTGTTAGTTTCAAATGTTGTAATAGTACTATCTTAATAATTTACAAATTCTAGTCTTTAATAGACAGATGGAGTGAAAATGTTCTTCATAGCATACACGAGATGGAAAGACTATCTTTCTGTTGCTATAATCCTGCTTCTGAAAGGGTGGCCCCCAGACCAAAAGCATTAGCATTGTTTGAGAATTTGTTAGAAATACAAATTCTTAGACGCTGTCCCACGAAATCTTCACATGAAACCCAGCCATTTGTGCTTTACTGGGCCCTCTTTGTTGGAGCAACACTAAACTCTGAGAGTGGACACCCTGCAGAAAGACTTGTGCCACAGATGAGACAGTTCACCATGTATTTCAAACATCCCTGACTGTGTTGCCAGTGGTGATAAAAGGAAATCTTTTACTTGTATTTTTTTATATTACACTACCAGTGAATTAGATAGTTTTTCTAGTAGGATAAGATAATGCTATAGATGACATGTTAATATCATCAAACATAGCAGCAGTGGCATATGTAATCTGAGCCCAGGAATGAATAGCGCTATGACTTCAGTCAACCGAAAATCTGGGTACTTTAAGCTAAGTAAATTTTACAGTGTGGGTTCTTTATAAAGTTCTTATTTTATCTTTGTGTGTGTGTGTGTGTGATGCTTAAAAGCCCAGATCTAAGCCCCTCATTCTCTTATGGTTTCTGTTGATGCTTTATTGGGATTGGAAGTCCCTAGTGTGTAGATTTTGGAATCTCCAGCACTTTGATTTATCTGTGCTTTCCCTGGCCTGCTTTTCTCTTGAATTTAAGGGGACTGTTCTCTTCTCAGACTAATGTATCCCACACTGCTCTCAATTTTTATGTCTTATCAACTTTAATCAATTGTATTCTCATTCATTTATTTTAAAATAGTTTACCTTTACTAAATGCTCCGCTTAAGATATCATGTGACATTTTAGAATCGCTCTCTTCCGGTTGCTTTAATCGCGTGTCATATAATACCCAGTTGCCCTTCCTTGCCTTCTCCTTCAGTAGCTCAGACTCCTGGCTGCCCATGAGTGTGGGTATTTCCCAGGTTTCCATCCATGTGACAAGTGATTTATACATTCCTTGGCCTTCTAATTCCTTCACTTGGTTTGTTTTTTTTAAAATCATTTTATTGGGGGCTCATACAACTTTTATTACAATCCATACATACAAAAATTGTATGTAGTACGTTTGTACATTCGTTACCCTCAATCTATTCCGTGTGAACAAATCCCCTCAGTATTTCTAGTCCTTGACATTTCCTGAGCATAAGTTTTGCATTCATGACATACTTTTGGATGCCACACATTGGATAACCTGGTAACACTTCATAAATCATGCTTCAAACTCAGTTTATTCTAAGACTCTCAATCCAACTTTCAATCTCACGTAATTACTTTCATTAGTACCCATTTGGAGCAATGGCCTGGGTGCCATTGGGACCTCCTGCGGCTACAAGAATCCAACGCCACATCTTCCCACAGGATGAGTCCTGAGAGGCAGAGAGGGCACGTGCCTCTGCCCTCTGTCCTGTACTCTTGTCGGGCACAAACCAGCCCTCTCAAATCACTCTCCTTACCTGTTCAGTTTGATAATCTTTTGCGATGGCCAACAAGAAATCACAGAGAAGAGTCAGAACCATGGGTGCTGATTAGGGAGGTTTAAAGGTCACCACAAGTAAAGGTCAGAAGGCAATGATAAGGAGAGCATACTTCTGACCCCGGCAGAGCCTCATCTCAGCCACGACAGCAGGTAGCTTTCTCTTGTTCTCAGACACTCAGCCACTTGATCTCTTAGCATCTGCCCAGCTCAGTGTTACGTGATCCCTCCAACATTGCTAAGTGCCTAAGGGCACCCTGCTCTGCCAGCCAGCCTCCTGCCAGGTGGCACTCAGCTTTACCTGTTCTGTAGGCTGTGGAGCCTGCAGCTGCATTTCTTGGCCTCCATAGTGCGGCCGATGGTACTTTTGCTGCCACCACAGCTTCAAGCTGGGAATCTCGCACATTCCACAGGTGGCTCTTTTCTCTTGGTAATTGTGGGATTCTTTGTTCTTGCCTCTGATATGACTCAAATATATACCCAGCAGAATGGCAAAACTGACCAGCTCCTGAGTGAGAGTCCTGGGTAGCTCATTTGCGAGTTCTCACTCATTCACTTGGAATTGCGAAGCCTTAAGGATAGAAGAACCTTTGAAAGTAATTTCACGCCAGCTCCTCACTCTTCTCAGGTTCTATCTCCCTCAGATATATGTAATTTCTAAGTAATTATGTAAGCTCAATGCGAACTTGTTGAGATGAATTGCAAATCCTCACGAGTGTTTTTGCTTAATATGTAATTAAATGAATGGAAACCTGATCTGCAAAGATATCATCTCATTATGAATGATTATAAATTATTTTCTGCTTGAATCATCCAAATGTGTTATTTTCCTGATGTGAGGTCATAATTTAGAGCCACATATCCCTTAATGTATTACAATAGCCAGAGAGATGGTTTTATTTTTTTGTACTCCTTAAAGGCTGTCAATGGGAGGCCTTGATTCCCCCAGAGTTGTTTCCTCGTGGGAATCTGTGTAAGACACAGATTTCATGGGTGAGATTCTGAAGAAGGCTTTAGAAGCAGTGCCCTCTGTTTGTTCAAAGAGAGGACAATGGCAGTCATGCTTTTGCATATCCTTCAGTTTTGTTTTTTAACCACATATGTTTCTGACACCGTTACCCAGAGTTTTCATATTGCTATTTAAACACTCATGTTCTTTTCAAAGCCAACATTTAGACATATGTTTTCAATTGTCATGGGAAATTTCTCTAACAATTGCTTACAAAGCCCCATGGGTCCCTGACAGTCTGTCCTCTCCGAATAGTGCATGCTGTGACGGTGCCTCTGCCAAGGGCATCTTTCCGAGGCGATGGAAATCCATTTCGCCCTGGAACTGTATCCCATTGCTGTATCGGACTATGCTGTGGTTGAGTTAAAGACAGGGCTTTTAAATTTACTTGAAACTCTCTCAACCATATTATCAATATAAAATATCTCTTGTCCAAGCAGTTATTGGATGGCTGATGACATTCTTCAGGGGAGTCCTGCTGGGTTTGTTTACTACTACAAGTGAATAAAAGAGCCTTTCTTGAAATGGCTTATGGGAGAATCACAAGTCATTGTTGCCATGATTTCTCAGCTGAGTGTATCTTAATGGTCCAGGGAACTAGAGGACACTTCTTGTATGCTGGATACTCAAATTTTTGCCACAATGTTAAAGCTGGTCTTGTGGCATCCACTTTTTTTGACCCATCATGGGAAGTGTCAGTGAATTCAGTGAAGAATGTAGCTGTCAAAAGAGATGCCATAGGGAAAGTTGTTTGGCGCTTCCGTTGGAACACCAATAGGGTATCTTGTAACTGTATTCACTTTGAATATTATGAATGATAGTTCTGTAGGCTCACTGCCTGGGAACTGTTACAATTTGCCAAATACAATGTACTACTCTGGCAGTAATTGATTCATTGAGATTTTGGCCTTTCATTCTCATGGGCCTGATAGAAATTATTTTGTACACTAATACATGCAATGAAAAAGATGTACTATTTATCCCTCATCTTTATTTCTTACAGTTTATATACTAATGCTTAGGCATGAGAAATTCTTAGGTGGAGTAACTATTTTATAATTAGCAGCCTAAAAGTTCCTGGTTTAACCACTCCCCGGCCGCATAATGAGAGAAAGTCCTGATAAAGTGGTTCTATAAAGACTGCAGTCTAGACGATCCTGGGCAACAATTCTACTCAGTAACTCAAGAGGTCAGATTGCTTTCGTTTGTTTGTTTTCTTTCTTTTTAAAAATAATTTTATTGGGGACTCTCACAGCTTTTTTCACAATCCATACATACATACACTGTGTCAAAAACATTTGTACATTTGTTGCCATCATCATTTCCAAACATTTTCTTTCTAATGGAACCCTGGGTATCAGCTCATCCCACCTCCCTCATGAATCCTTGATAATTTTTTTTAAATAATTTTATTGGGGCTCATATAAATCTCATCACAATCCATACATACACCAATTGTGTAAAGCACATTTGTACATTCATTGCCCTCATCATTCTCACGTTATTTTCATGTCTTTACACTGACTGCTGTCTCCTTTCACCCACTTTTCCGTTGTCCGTCCCCCTGGAAGGGGGTTATATATATTGATCCTTGTGATCAATTCCCATGTTCTTCCTCCACGTTCCCCTTCCCTTCCTGGTATCGCCACTCTTGTTATTACTTTCAGTAAACCCTAGGGGTTTAGCTGTCCTGGCTTCCCTGTGTTGAGAGTTCTTATCTGTACCAATGTACGTGCGCTGATCTAGCCAGACTTGTAAGGCAGTATTGGGGTCATGATAGTGGGGTGGAGGAAGCATTAAAGGACTAGCGAAAGTTGTGTGTTTTGTTGGTGCTATACTGCCCTCTAACTGGCTTGTCTCTTCCTTGTGGCCCTTCTGTAAGAGGATGTCCAATTGTTAACAGATTGGCTTTGGTCTCCACTTCACCCTCCCCCTCATTCACTTTGTTGTGATTTTTTTGTCCTGGGTCTTTGATGTCTGATACCAGATCTCATCGATACCTTGT